TTCATTAATTTCTTAGTCCTATTTATAGAGATATTTCCTCATCTCCAGTGTTACAACATAGATGAATTTTTATTTATAACATATCTTTTAATGCCAACTTGACATATAGTATATTATTAGTGGTATTATTTTGTAAATTAATATAGAAAAGACTATCAAATAAAATATAATTTCTAAAAAGTTTAGATTTATAATATAAACCAACAAAATTTTTTGAAAAATTAAAAGTATAACTAAAAGGTACAAGTCTGAAAACTGAAATTAAATTACTAAAATAAAATTATTACTAAGTACTAAGTATTATGTTTCAATTGCTTCAATATATGAGCTCATCTTATTTCTTGAATCAATATATTGTTCATTTCTCACTAGCTTCCTTAAGTTTTGCATATCCTACAAAGTATTATAAATATGGATTATAAAACCTGAATCAATCCTCCATGTGTTATAAATAATATTAGTCATATTAGATTCATAAAAGACAAATGAGATTATTATACCTTTTTTTTTTTATGCCATTCCAAAATTTTATGCAATTCTTCTTCATATGTCACTTCCTTTAATGAAGAAAACACTTTGACTTCTTATGGATGCCAGGTTGGGGTGGTACTTTACCTTTTCCTTTCTTTTTGACGTGGCTCCAGTCCTTTCTATATGTAGCTAATATTATATTATCACAAAATTTTATAATCAGCATTTCCTCCTCTTGAACACATGGTTAAAAGCTCATTAATTGACCATTTATCCTTTTGTGTCTTATAAGATGTTTTAAAAAATCCATATTGTTGTGAAGTGTGTTCAAAATATAGAGCACTAGAAAAGACTCAAACATATCAACCTTAAGAATCTTAAGCTAAGCTGTAATATCTCGTATTTGTAGTATGTGCTCTACCACATCTTTAATTCCATTTAGTTTCAAGGATAAACTCCATAATTATGATAATAGTAAGAGATTTTTATGAATTGTTGAATTGTTCATCAATTATTTTAATTAACTCTTTGATATTTTTATACTGATCAACTAAATAATGAATACTAGAAAATATTTTGTTATTTATGAACATCAAACTTAAGCAATTAGATTGGTCTCAATGTTCATATAGAGCAATCTTATCATGAATGCTAGTATATTTAACTTCAAATAGTTCATCTTTTCTTATAGCATTATCAATATTCATCTACCCTAAATGGAAGAGAATTATCTCTTCCATACTTCATAGTTATAAGCCCTTAATTCAAAAATATTACATATATCAAAGATGAGCTAAAGGATCAAAATTATGACAATCATAAATAAATCAAAAGAAAAAAAACTAGAAGAACAAAATGACCACTAGAAGCAGCTAGCAGCAGCAAATCTACAGGAAAGATGAGAAAAACAACCACACCTACATGGAAATAATAGGAAGAAGACCTTGCAAGAGAGCAGCCAAGCAAAACCATTATGTAACAAGCAGGCAAAACGTCACCATAGTAATACCAATATTCACCATAAAAGCAGCCAAGAAGAAGCACCAAAAGGCCACCACATAAACACCAACGTACAAACCAGCCAACACCTAAACAAAGGACAACTAAAAAACCCCAAACAAGAAAATTAAGACCCCACAAGGACCAGCAACCAACCAATTCTCAAAGAACCCATGAGCACAACCAGCAAGCCAAGTCATAAGGACACAAACACAGAAGAAAAGAAGAAACCCAAGATTTTTTTCTTTTAGATCTCCTCCGCTTACATTTACCAACATTTGAAAAAACAAAAAATCCATCCTCAACTATTTGAATAACATTTAATTCATCGACATCTATTGAATGAATTAATGGCACATCCCTCACTTCCCCAACATCCCAATCAGAGGTTGAATCACACTCATCAAGCTAGTCTCCTTGAACCACCACGCTCTCCTTCGAGTTGGCAGCCAAATGAGCTCACAAATCATCATTTGCAATATGAGAAATATGAATATCAATGAGAGGGGTAGGGGCATTCAAATAAACATTAATTTCATACTTTACAACTACATTATCATTAATATAAAAATCCCCATCATCCAACCCAACATTCACTATAGGTCAGTTTGAAACCAAACTATTTATAGGGAAAGCAACCTTGGGCCCCAAAGGAGTAAATTCAGAACAACCATCCTCACCACCTCCAGTAATAGAACTAGGTGTCTGAGTAGTTTTCAGGTTAACTAAGAAAGGGTTGCTTCCCACATGAGAACCTCATGGTATGTGGCCACATTGAGATCCTCTTTGTTGTTACAAGATAAAACTAAAAGCAAAACAACAGTCACCCACATCAATTAAACTGACATTATCAGTATCCACATTCACCTTATTAACCATATGGGAGCCATTATTGTCATTAACCACTAAAGCTTTGATCGATGAAACAGGAAAACCAGAAGTAACATTATCCATAATTTCCACAGCACCTGGAGCATTCATATCATAATGAACATTAGTCTTAATCGGATTTGAAAGAACAACATTGTCAGACATTGGGTTAGAAGCATGAATGGGGTGATAAGAACTGATCAAATGCCCTAAACATTTACATTTATCATAGAAGGGAGGGAATTCCTCCATCACAACCTACTGTATGTAGCCCCAACTATCAGGACCAAGCCACACTTTATCATAATATTTTTTAGTAATATTAAGCTCAACTAAAACATGGGCAATAGATGGAAGAGAGCCCAAAGCAGTAGTATTATCAACTTTTAATGAACGCCAAACAACAGTCCCATGCCATGGAGGATATGATGGGAAAATAGATGAGGACGCAAGTTGGGAAATGATATCCTAAAGGAAATAACGGGAGATTTAACACCAATATCAGCTAAAGGAATCCTTTTGGTCAATTTCATGAAGAAATTATAAACAAAATAAGATCACTGACAAATAATTCTACTATTATCAAGATCATTCCCCAACTTGATCAATGCATGAGATTGATCCAACATGGTAACCGAGAACTCTCCAAACAACTTAAGGTTGAAAAAACCTACGAATAGAATAGAGACTAGGATGGTGAGTGGGGAAAAATCAACTAAAGCAATTTTATAAGGCTTAGCTAGGGCACAAAACTCCTCCTCCGAAATCCATAAACATGGAAAACCATGAAATGTAGTAGTTTTAAGGTCAAAAGAACACACAGAAGAAGAAGAAGAATCAGATAAAGCATCAAGGAACGAGCGAGATTTGATCAACCCTTCCAAAAGACCAGGGTCGACCTGCGATTCACCGCCATTCCGCCAAGCAGAGGAGGACATATTAGCCTAAAACGAGCAAGGAGGAAGCAAACAGAAAGCTCGAGTGAGGAAGAAAAAATGGAAAGATAAAAGAGTAACAAGGGAACAGAACTCCCCTTGGCACAAGTTGTAAGCCGGCTATGGCACACCCGTAGCAGAGAACGGAGGATTGATGACGAGAGGAGGCTCCAAATGCGAGAAAAAAAAAATGACGACTGGAGGCGGCTAGGGCGAAGCCCTAGCAGCGCACTAGAACATTGGGGAAAGGCAACAACTCAAAGGATTTGATGCTAACAAATTTACATCATACTTTATCAAAGTAAATGACTCAAATATAAATAAGCATTGAAAAATAAATTTAAATCTAAATGTATTTAAACAAAATCTAAAATGAATTTAAAGAAATAATTTGAAATTTTGCAAATTTTTCTTTCTACAATTTTATTAAAGCTAGTGAAATCCATAACAATAGCAATTATCTATGGGAAATACCAACATTACCCATACAAATATTTAAATAATATAGGGTTGACTCCAATTGCAAACAAGCGGCCTCTAAAATATCATCATATACTAAATAAACATTTAATTTTAAAGTAATTAATTTTTTTGCGTGAAAGCTTAAACTTGCAAAAAAACTAATAAATAGAATAAAATGAATGATTCGATTCAAAAATATTCTCCCATTTTAGAAATTATAAAAGAACCAAAAATCATATTTAAAATCACAATTCAAGTTTTAAAACACGAATATGATATAAATTTAATCCAAGAAAATTTATAGCCTTATTTATGATAAAAGGCAACTAAATTTAAAATCTTTATGCGATCAATTTTCCCTAAAATAAAAGTTAAACAAATTAAAATATCGAGACAAAGATTTTGAAAATGCTTTGATGCCAAATGTTAGAAAAATTAATTTCAATTCTATAAATTTTTTTCAAATTTTAGAGTTATGTTAAATTTTTGATAAATTTATAAAATATGGAATCGAATAAACAACAAGATGTGGAAACTAATTCATATACAAAATTTGTATGCCTTCAGTCATTGAATTTGATTGTGTTCTTAGCTAATTTCAAAATCTTTTAAACCTTCTCTCCCAAAAAATGATATATATTTTTTTATGGAAGTAATAGAGAGAAAGATTAAGGAACCCAAAATATATAAAAAATTTGAAATTACTTTATTGCTCATCATAGCAAAATTAAAATTTTAGTTTTAAAAACTGAATTAAAACTGAGAAACGTTCAGTTTTAAACTAAGAATGCTCAATTTAATGGCTAAATCAAAACTTAAAAATAATCAATTAATTAAAAATATTTTGTACTATTCATAATTATTATTTTAAATAAATAATTAACAGTAGAAATAACCTGACCACAGTATATCACTTTTCCAATGTCCTTTTCGCTCTACGGTGGATGCCATATATCTAATAGGATTTGGGGTCTCCTCAGTTCCCCTAAGAGCTCAACATCACTTACTGAATAATATTAACATTAGTGTTTATCACTGTGGGCATTGAAATGTTTCCCTTCGATATTGTAAATAACTGAAATGTTGATTTCTTTTGGAAGAAAGTTAATGATAGCAACTTGTTGGGATTAACCATGTAGGAGGAATAAATGGTAACATCAACCTATGTCAAAGAGCTCCAACAAGGAAAGAATAGGATCAATTTAGAGAGGAAGGGATGAGGAAAAATATGCAATTGAGGGAATAATTTTGCATGTCTAATCATTTGCAACAACAAAATCAAGCTTTCGATTTTGTCAAAGAGCTCCAATTAATCTCCCAACTACAAAAACAAAATATTTCAATGTTAGATATCCAAATTCTACCGAGCAAATGATCCACTTATTACTAATACAAAACAACTAAACAAGCTATATTTAACATTTATCAAGTGCCACAAAACAAGGCTTATCCTAAAGGTAATAAATTCACACACTCAGAAAAACCATCAAGCTACAAAAACGTTTTGCAAGGAGCCCATACACATTTCTATGTCACTAATATTACTATTTTTCAGATAAAATATTATAGTTTAAACTGCGTATTCACCGATCTCCACCAGAAGATGTTGGTCCACCGAAGACTGGTCTCATGTAAGCATTATCGAACTTTCTCCAATAGAAATGAATTGTGTGAATCGGACTTTCCAAAAGAATCGATAAGCTTCTTGTCGCTTTGAGAAGATTCGACTCTGTTGATTCTTCTATGGAAAGTAGAGGCGTGGTTGGATCTTCTTTGCTAATGCTAGTTTGTGGCTGATTGTTGCGTTGAGCTTGGTGTATTAGCTTATTTACAAGTGGCTTTGTGAAGATACCGATTGCCTGACATATAAAAGAAAAAGGTAAGACTATAATATATGACATGATAATGCCCGGTAAAGTACTGAAATTATCACCATAAATGTATAAAGCTATGCAATGGAAATGGTCAGCAAGTATCGGGAAATACATGCGATAATTAAAGCATAGTTGATGTTAGTTTTAGGCTTCGTTTGGGATGGCTTTCTTCCTGCTTCTTAAAATAACATTCTAGTACAATAATTAAAATTTTTTACTATAAATGTGCTTTAAGAAGCGGTAAAAAAGCCGTCCCTAACGAAGCCTGAGACAAATGCCTGAAAATTTGAAATATCATTCATTTAGAGCTTGAAAAAGAAAAAATGCACCTACAGATAAGTACATACCAAAGTGGTGAAAAGCACAATTACAATGGTGCTTGTGATCATTGTTGCATGAACAGGGTCCCAAGTAACTCCAGAAACGGTGAACTGAAAGATTATTTAATAATGCATGTATTTTATTAATTTAAATTTAGGGTTTGAAATGACTGAAATGTAAGCAAATTGTAAATATCAGACCAGGTTAAATGCTAAAGCGATCGAAACAGCTCCTCTCATGAGACCAGCCCACCAAATTATGAACTGTTAACAATCAATCATATTGAAGTTTTAATAGTTTGAAATTAAATGAAAAAAAAAAAAAACACTTGTATTAAGGTGAAGAAGGAAATGGGATGATATCCCAAACAGGCTTCTGAAACAATGAAATTACAAGGGTTCAAAAGGAATGTAACCTGGTGCTTAAATGTAATTATCAACCTCTCAGGACCAGAACTGATTTTATTGGATAGAATAGAGAGAGGAAATACAAATGCAGCACGTCCAAGCAACACCAAAATAAAGAGGATAAAATTGACGCCAAAAGTTGCCTTGACACTGCCAAAAGAAAGGAGCCCTTCCATAAACAATGTTTAGGAGAATAAAGAATGCAGCTGTAAATCATCGGTCTAGCAAAGATCAAGAATATATTCAAATACCAAAAATAAAACTTAATAAAATAAAAAACCAAATAACTAAATAACATTTTTAAAAAGTTTAGTGCTGATCTTCTAAGGAAAATGAATCTTGCGTTTCCATGAATTTTTGAAATTTCATCCACAAAGAAAGTTATAAGCTCGAATATAGAACAAATCTACAATGAAGTGTTTAGTTTAGTTGAAAACTATCTAATGCTCTTCTAAAATGAACAAAATACAATTCAAGGATGCACTTGAAAAGAGCCTATTCAGTAAAATATGTCAAGAGGGGAAAACTATGCGAATGAGAAAGGGAAATTATAATCAGAACAGCTCTAAATATTCACCAATATAACAGTCAAGTCTTAAGCTCCAAGAAGAGAGACTGTTGATCAAATGGAGTTTTTTTTTTGGCAAATTATTTCACTTTTTTAAAGATTTCTCTTATACTGAAATTTGGAATATTTGGGGTTTGCATTAGATCTAGGGATCAAGGTTTGCCAAAGGAAAAATTCCATGGTTAATTACATCTCAGATGTGATACCTGAGATAACTTTCGCTTAAAGACATCACAATGCTATGGATTTGGGGAATTATTGAACTTGATTTTAAATTGGGGGGAAAGGTGGCCAAGCTGATCAAGATCTTATGGTTCTATCATTCCATGTCAACATGGTGGTCGTAGTGCACCATCAATTAAGAGCCGGATGACCATATCAGTTGAAAAGTTTAATTAGCAGTCATAGGTTGTGCCCTATTAGGTATCCAAAGTAGACCAGGATGGCATATATTCTTTGAAAATACCCACTCTCTTTGGTAAAATCTAGCAGTTTAGATGTTGACCTATAATAGATAAGCCAAAAGAAATAAAAAAAAAAATGAAAATAAAAAAAATGCTTAAATCATTGCATACCAGCTGCCCATGCCAATATCCTCCATCGAATCCCGCTGCTACATCCTATCGCCAGTCTGCAACGGCGCCGAATAGTCCTATAGCACGCCTGCGGAGATCTCCTCGATCGCACATCCATTTGAGTAGTTAAATATGACACTAAAGGAACATCTTTTTCGCTTCTGTTCACCACTTAACTTCTGCAAGAACTCCCGCTCTTTCTCCCCTTCCTTGAGCCGCTCGAAAGCTCTAAATTCCACCTCCTTCCTCTCCGACCAAATCCTGCCGCCCTCATCTTGATTCCACGCCTCTTCAATCGGCGAGCCAGCCACTTGATTCAGACCTCACACGAATCCCTAATCCCAATCTCCTCCCCTCTCTCGCAAACCTCTGCCAACTCCTTCGACTTCTCCTCTCGCATGCGAAACTCCTGCCGTTGCCTTCCTCCACTGCCGAAACCTCATCTCTTCCCCTAACCGAACCCTCAACCATTGCTAATCTTTGATTTCTCCAAGCTCTCCGATCTCTAATCACCCGTTGAAGGCCGCCTCTTCTGTCGGCTACTAGATCTTGCTGCAAGATCTTGACTCCCTATACGCAAGGCAACCATCTCTTCCTTATGACCGGAGCCTACCTAATTCCTCCTGTACTGAAGCCGACGTCTATCCCAACCCACGACCAGACTTCTCCATCCCCATCCAAGACCTGTCCGATCCAAACCCACACTCGACCAGCCTCAACCTCCGACCTTGTCTCCAACAAACAGAGAGAGAGCTTTCCTCTTACCTTCCTCTTCCTTTAGCCGAACACACTTCATCCACTGCTAAACTGAGCGGAACACCGTCACGAGCGTTATATTACGAAGCACAAGTTACCTTATTTAAAGGTAAAGGTGACGGTTCAGTTTGCTTTAATTCCATTTCTCTATTAAATTCGCATTTTTTTGATTCCCCGAGAGTTTTCTTGTCATAGAAAGAGAAGCTCTAGGGTTTTGGCGCTTCGTTTTGCCGCTTCCTCCTCCCCCGCTGGGGGCCTCCTCATGGCTTCCGCCGACTTCCCTCCACTTAACTCCGCCTCCCCCCACACTTCTCCCCTTCTTCCTGAGGGCCCGCTTTGGAAGAATCTCCTTGCTAACAGCCCCCAAGTTTCCACCCAGTTTTCCCATACCCTCTCATTCGTCCCCAACCTTAATGCCACAGCTCAGTTCACTAGTAAGCAATTCACGCCAGGGGCTCCCGAGTAGTCCCTCTCCTTGGTGGGTTATCTCATAGGCAAACGGCCTTACTACGAAGCACTTTTGGCGGTAATCAAAAAATCATGGCAGCTCAAAGGCTCTGTCTCCCTTCTCACTATGGATGACGGTTTCTTTCTCCTTAAGTTCTCCACCCAGGAGGACTACAACCTCGCTTGGACTGGAGGTTCATGGTTCTTTTTTGGCAAGCCCTTCATCCTTCAAAAGTGGACTCCGGAGCTCATACCCAAGCGTGAAGAGTTCCCGTCCATTCCGCTATGGGTTAAAATCGTGAATCTTCCACTGTCCATTTGGACGCCTGAAGGTATTTCAAAGGTTGCGAGCTGTATCGGGATTCCTCTAGCTGTAGACGCTCTCACTGCCGCAAAAACCAGGTTGACCTTTGCAAGGGTCTGCGTTCAGGTAACGAGCTCCTCTCCTTTACCTGATGAAATATATTACTCTGTTGATGGGAAAGTTTCCCCCCTCAAGGTAATCTACGATTGGAAACCGGAACCATGCTCCCACTATAAGTCTATTATGCACTCTTCCTCACTCTGCCCCTCTGATCCCAACCCCAAATCTCAGACTGTTATCACTACTCGAGGTCGAAGCTCCAGTCGTAAACCACGTCCCACCCCACCCCCCCGTCTCAACATTCCTAAGCCTCCTACTACACATCTATCTCACCAACCCTCCACCTCTACGGTGCCAAACCCCCTTCTTCCCAATCTGAATTCCCCCTCCTCTGACACCGTTGCTGATAATCCTCCCCTGTTCTCCCCCAAAACACTCCCGATTACTACCAGTAATCAATTCTTTGCTCTTCCGGTTGAATCTGCTCCATACCAGATTGCTCCTCCTTCCAATGAGGTGGTCATCCCACCTTCTTTGACCACTTCCAGCCCTGCTCCTCTATTCCCCCCAATCACTTCTCAGATTCCTCCTCGCTCCCCCAACACCACCTACCACTCTTCCCTCCTCCCAGTAACCCAGCTTGTTTCCACCTCAATACAGGACTCGCATATCCTTGAGAACCCTCTCTCGACAAGCTCCACTAAGACTTCTCAGTCTAATGACGATATGCCTAGCTGCAATAAAAGCCCTGCTTCATCTCAATCCCAAACCAATAACCAACAAAACCAGAAAAACACCCGTGCCAAGAATGCCAAAAAGGCAGCCACCTCAAATTCCAAACATGAGCCGCCGTTTTTTGGCTGCAGCAATAACTGAGTCCTGGTTTTTTTGTATACCATAATTTTATTTCTTTACTTGTAATTGGGGGTGGTATAGGTTTTTATTTACAGTTTTTCTTTATAGTTGTTGTAATTTTTCTGCTGTCCTCCTCTGCTCTTGGCTTGGGGCTGGACCTTTTTCTGTAATTTCTTTTAGTCAATGAATGGGCTTATGCCCCAAATTTTCCAAAAAAAAAAAAAAAAAAAAAAGAGTTTATAATGAACTAGAATCTTTGCATGAGTGAGCTTAAGATTTCGTTTGGGACAGCTTTCTTTCTACTATGTAAAGCAATTTTTTAGTACAAAAAATTTCTAATTGAAAATAACATTTGTATTGGAAAGTTACTAAAGAAAGTAGTAAAAAATTGTCTCAAATGAAATCTAAGGTTTCGTATGGAACATCTTTCTTACTACTTTCTAAAACTGCTTTTCTAATACAAATATTTATAATTAAATTTTTTTCCTAAATTTAGTTCTTTGTTACTAAAAAAGGATTCATGTAGCCGACCCCACGTAGTGGGATAAAGGCTTGATGTTGTTGTTGTTGTTGTTGTTAGTTATTTGTTACTAATAATGATACCTGTAATATACCTATTATGTCATATTACAAGTATATGTAAACCTGTATCTAGTTTTAGCTTACGGTTCTGCTATATATTCCTACTCTCTGTATCAGTTAGGTTGTGTAATAAGATAAGCAAATATTTCCTTTCCCTGTCTTTATGGCATCAGAGCTAGCTCCGATTTTCTTCTTTTTAAGAATTTCTTTTCTCTTCTAATCCGTCTCTCAGACGCTCATCTCTTTACCTTCCCGACTATGGATGCCTCCTCCACCTCCCTAACTACAGATCCTCAAGAAATTTCGTCCGATGACGGCTGCACCATACCGGTTGCTCTCAAATTTGTGATATCCAATATCAAGATAATCGTGTCCACACATCTGACCTCCAAAAATTGCTCGGTATGGCGTTCTCAAATTCTCAAACTATTGAATGCTAATGGCTTCTCCTCCTTCCTTCTTCCATCGGCATCTCCTCTAGTTCGGTACATCGATCTTCCTGAAGGTTGTCAAGAACTCAATCTGAAATACAAGGAATGGATTCTTGTTGATCAAAATCTAGCCACAGCATTGTGTTCAACAATCTCGCCAGCGATTTTACCCTATGTTATTAATCTTGAATCCACCTCGATGATCCTTCCCAACTTAGCCGCATGGAACATTCGTGGCTTTAACGGGCCTGAAAAAGTTAACTGTTGCAAGCAATTTGTCAAGTCTCTGCATCTTGACATCATCTTCCTTCTGGAAGCTAAGATTTCCCCCTCTTCTACTGCCGACCCTTGGTTTCTTGCCTCTCATAAACTCTTCCTTGATGAAGGTACCTGCGACAATTTTGGTCTTTCTAACCCAGGCCGCATCTGGGTTAAGTGGAATTCTTCAGTAATTAAATTCTCCCCTATCACCGTTTCAAGTCAGTAAATTCATGGTACTATTGTTTCGTCTGGTTCCCCCGTTTGTGATGTTACTGCAGTTTACGCTTCTAACTCGTTTGTTGAAAGGCAAG